CTCCTACAGAATAGGCTGCCTTTTCATTGTGTTGAGGGTTTCTTTTGCTTTGCAGAAGCTTTTAGTCTGATGTCGTCCCACTTGTTGATTTTGAAGCAGGCGCCTTCTAACGTTGTGCGGACAGGCATGTGTCTTGGTAGAACCACCTGGAGGTCAATTTGTCATCGATTTCAGAAGGCTTAAAACTGTTCAAACCTTTATCATGGCAATTTCACTTCTAGGAGTGTATCCTCAGGATATAATTGGAGAGGCATGAAGAAAATATGTTTTTAGGATTTTCATCTCAGTGTTCTTTATAACACACAGAGAAAAAACAGAATCACTGTAAATGTTACCAATGGCTCCTAGCGATATTTTAAAATATCCAACAATAAAAGTCTGGTTAAATAAATGATGATTTAGCTATATAATAGAATATCATGCAGCCATTTGAAAGACTTTTTTTTTTTTTGATGAGGAAGACTGTCCCTGAGCTAATGTTCATGCCAATCTTCCTCTGTCTTGTATGTGGGGTGCCTCCACAGCATGACTTGATGAGTGACTGGTAGGTCCACACCTGGGATTCGAACCCCTGAACCCTGGGCCACCGAAACAGAGCATGCGAACTTAAGTACTCCGTCATGGGGCCAGGCCCTGAAAGATATTTTTAAGGCACTCATGAAAAAATGCTCATAAGATAATTTTGGGCTTAGAAGCAGCAGGATACAAAACTATGTACATATACGATCATAACTGAACGATGATACAGTAATTTTGGCTCACACTTATTCAGTGCCCTCTACATACCAGGCATTATATCATTTGATCTTTATATAACTTTCTAAAGGAAGTATTATTATCCTCGTTTTGCAAATGAGGAATCTGGGGTTAAATAACTTGCCTGAGATCATCAACTAGAAAGAAGCAAGGTCAAGATTGAAGTCGGAGCTCTTAGAGCCCCGATGAACCACTGAGCTGGCGGGAGGTACAATGGCCAGGGGAGGGGAGGGCAATACATCAAAAATGTCCTGGGTGATGGAATTAAGGTCCCCATCTCAGTAAAGGGGAACTTCTGCCTTCAGGTGCTGAGGACTAAAAGCTTGAGGTCATTCTGATTCCCTCTTTCACACCTCACATCTGGTCCATCAGCAGATCCTATCAGCTCCAACTTCAAAAGACAGTCAGAATCCGGTCCCTTCCCACCTCCTCCACCGCTTGCACCTGGAGCCTCCCAGCTGGTCTCCCTTGCCCCTCACCGTCCATGTGTGCAGCCCAGGACACCATCGCATTGGTATCGCATGGTTGCCCGGTGGTGGGAGGAGGGTGGAGTCCTTCAGGATCTTGGACATATTGTAATCATGTTTTAATAGTGTTACAAGGAGAGTGATACTTATATGATCAAAACATTTTAAAACAGAAGATGGAGCAGCACCTCCCCACCCCCCAGCCTCAAGGCCCCCCGCTGAGTGGCTGCCACCCTAATCCTCAGCTCCTCAACCCTGGGTTTCTGCACCCCCTGGGCTCTCTGGAAGCCCCTCAGAGAAGGTGACCTGGTGGCGTCTCGTGGCCTGAGGAAAGCGGCGCCCAGCGGCTGGCAGGCAGGACTGCCTCGGCCTGAGAGTCCCACGGCAGGCCCCGACAGGATTGTCTGGTGGCTTTTTACTGTCCAGTCTCAGTTTCCTTCCTGTTCATTGTCTGTCAGAGGAGGGGGGTCTGGCAGGCTCAGGGGCTTTGAAGTTAATGGCTGCTTTTATTTCCTCCTCCTGGAGTCTGGGGAGTTCCTAGGGTCTCGTTCCATTGTTCCCCACAGAGTCCTAGGCAGACTGGAAGGCTCCTTACCACACACCTATCCCAGAGCTCTGAAACGAGGGCTGATGCTGTAGGTGGCCACATGGCAAAAAAAAAAAAAAAAAAAAAAAAAAAAAGAAAGAAAAAAAGAGAAGCCAGTATTTTAAAAATCAGGAGATATCTCAATTTCTTCTTGCTTTGAAAAATCTTACCATCTGGCAACAATGGGCCCACATTCAGAGCCAGAACAATCCCAGGGATGCAGAAGGGGCTCCTCGCTTTGGATGCACCGTGAGCTGTCCTGCTCACCACAGTCCTCCCCACTCCCAGTGCTTCCCTGGCCCCTCAACTGGGGTGGCCATTGACCATCAAATTGTGCTGTTGTTTTTCTCAGAAAGAAAAGCACTTCTCTCTCCTCTTGTCTCTTTCAAAGTGGGGGGTGAGGGGTGGGGGAGTTGGGCCAGGAAGGCTGTGAGAATTTTCTTCCACCCAGCGAGCTTCTTTCTCTTATGTTGTCTTCTTGATCCTCTTATCCCCCTGGGTTGTATCCCCCATGGTCTAATCCCATCCCCTTCTCTTTTTTTCTTTTTTTAAGATTTTATTTTTCCTTTTTCTCCCCAAAGCTCCCCGGTACATAGTTGTGTATTTTCAGTTGTGGGTCTTTCCACTTGTGGCATGTGGGACGCCACCTCAGCATGGCTTAATGAGTGGTGCCATGTCCGTGCCCAGGATTCAAACTGGTGAAACCCTGGGCTGCCGAAGCGGAGCGTGTGAACTTAACTACTCGGCCACGGGGCCGGCCCCCCATCCCCTTCTTTGACAGAAGGAGAAACTGAGGTCCATGGAAAGAGGGCTACCTGCCAAGTCCCCACAGTGAATTTACACAGTGCTTGCTTCAGGCTGTAAAGAACAATGTCCTAGGAAGGTTCTAGAATGTTTTGTTATTATTACAAGTGGCAAGTATTAGAGAGCAGGATGTACTTCCACTCAAGTTTCTTCTTTTCACAGTCACAACAGTCTTTTAAAGAAAGAGTAGTTCCTCCATTTTACTAATATGAACAATGAGGCCCAAAGAGCATCAGTGTCCAGGGTCACACAACTTTCTGGGTCTCATTTGAAAAATGGGGATTAAAAACCACTTACCAACCTGAAGTCTGGGCCAGTGATTGCTTCAGGCCCCCATGGGCTCTGCTACCCACGTGTCCATCATTTATCAATTCAGTAAACCTATAGTGACCATCTCCTCTACCTCAGGCACTGTACTTGTCTTCAAGGAGCCTAAACTGTGTGAGGGCAAATAGTAATGGCGGGCAGAAATGCAGAAAACCTCATCCCCAAAGTGCCCCTGGAGGGGGATGGGTGAGTTCCCATGAAGAGTGGTGTGGCACACGAGGTCTGTGAAAGGAAACAGAAGTGCATGTCTAGTCTGTTTGGGCTGCTATACCAACATACCACAGGCCGGGTGGCTTATAAACAAGAGGAAATTATTTCTCACAAGTTCTAGGGGCTGGAACTCCCAAGATCAAGGCACCAGCAGGGTCACATTCTGGTGGGGGCCCTGTTCCTGCTTCATAGCCAGCACCTTCTGGCTGCGTCCTCACATGGTGGGCAGGCCAGGGATGTCTATGGGGTCTCTTTTATAAAGCACTAATCTGATTCATGAGGGCTCCACCCCATGACCTAGTCATCTCCCCTGGGCCCCACCTCCTCATACCATCACCTTTAGGGGTTAGGATTTCAACATAGGAATTTGAGAGAAACACAAACATTCAGACCATAGCAATGGGTTTCCTCTGGGGTAGAGTTCAGAGGGGACAGAGGTGGGAGCTGGGCTGGCTACATGATTTGCAGGGCCCAGTACAAAATGAAAACACAGCGCTCCTTGTTCAAGAAGCTGGGAAAAGTGTTGTTAAAATGCTAAAATATAAAGTTCTGTCCTTTCTTCTGCCATCTCTTGACTTGCCATGGGTTTTTTTTTTAATTTGCGATTTAATGTTCTCAGTAAAGAAAAATTAAAAATATTAGCATGAGTTTTATCATTCGTCTTTATATTGTGCAGTAACACTTTTCAATGCAAAAATAAGAGCATTTAACTCACATATAGGATCCCTGAGATTACACAATTTGTATTTTTTGGCTTGTATGTGCTCATGTATTTAGTTCATACAATAACACTGCATATGCTATACAAAACTAACTCAACTGGTTTTATTTCACTTCTTTTTGTTTGTTTTTGTTTGGGGGTGTTTCATTTTTTAAATAAATATTGTGTATTTAAGCTATAAAACATGATGTTTTGCTATACGTATATACATAGTGAAATGATTACTATAGTCAAGCTAACTAACAGCCATCTCCTCACATAGTTACTTTTTTCTGGGGGAGGGGGGTGACGAGAGCACCTGAGATCTACTCTCTTAGCAAATTTCCAGCTTACCATACAGAGTCATTGACTACAGTCCCCAGGCTGTACGTTAGGTCTCCAGAACTCATTCATCCTGCATAATGGCAACTTTATCCCCTTTGACCAACATCTCTTCATTTCCCCACCTCCCTGCCCCTGGTAACCACTGTTTGACTCTGCCACTATGAATTCGACTCCTCTGGATTCCACATATACATGAGACCATGCAGTCTTTGTCCTTCTGTTACTGGCTTATTTCACTTATCATAGTGCCCTCGATTTATCTCAAATGGCATAAGCCCCTTTTTTAGGCTGAATAATATTCTCCTGCGTGTGTGTGTGTGTGTGTGTGTGTCTGTGTCTGTGTGTATCCATTCATCCATCGATGGACACTTAGGTTGTTTCCACATCTTGGCTACTGTGAATAATGCTGCAATGAACTTCTTGAGGTGTGCACATCTTTTTAATGCTCTCTACCATTGGCTTACTGATGAGTAAGGAACGGCAGAGAGGAAAAGGAATGATGGGTTGTCCTATCTTTTCCTTTCCTTCTTGTCATAATATGTGGCTGCCTAATACAAAGAAGCAATACCAGTAAGAAAGGATATGATGGGGTTCCTCGGTGTGTATTTCTCAGAACACTATTGCCTTCTATTATGGGTTGAATTATGTCCCCCTAGAAAGATATGTTGAAATCCTAACACCAGCATGTCAGAATGTGCCCTTATTTGGAAATAGGGTCGTTCCAGATGTAATTAGTTAAGATGAGATCATACTCATCTTAATGAGTGGGCCCTTAATCCTGTATCACTGACTGGTATCCTTTTAGGAAAACTGAAGATGGAGGCAGAGACTGCAGTCAGGCAGCTGCAAGGTGAGGAACACCACGGACTGACGGCACCAGCAGAAACGAGGAAGAGGCAAGAAAGGATTCTACCCAGAGCCTCAGAGAGAGCATGGCCCTGCTGACACCTCGATTTCAGACTTGTAGCCTCCAGAACTGGAGATAATAAAGCTCTGTTTTTCTAAGCCACCCAGTGTGTGGTACTGTGTTACAGCAGCCCTGGGAAACTATACACCTTTCTGTGTTCAAAGCAAGTTCTAGTTCAAGCTGAAAGCAGGGCCTCTAGGAGCTGTCAGTTCCTCCTGCCCTCCTCTCCCCACATTGTAGACATAATTCACTTACCTTCTACTTCCTTTGAATCTTGCTGAACTCCCACGCCTTATAGATTCACTGGAATTCGGTGCTCATGGGGCATGGAGAACACTATACGCAAATGGGGCAGCAAGGGACAGCAGACACCTACTGCACAACTCTCTGTTCAGGTGCGTGCTCTGCCGTCCCCTCCGACTTCATTTACAAAATACGGGTTCAAAGATAAAATTCTTTCTTCTTCTTTTTTTTTTTCTTAAATAGATCGAGTTAAGAGTCTTTGTGAACACAGGTCCTGGCCTTTGTCAGTTAACTGAATCCCTAGTTGAACCCTGTACTATAAGGGATGTGGCAGAAACAGGCTCTGTTTCAGGCCCTTTGGTTTGTTTTAGGACTTTTGTTTTTTGTTTTTTGTGGTTTTTTTGCTGAGGAAGATTATCCCTGAGCTAATATCTGTGCCAATATTCCTCTATTTTGTAAGTGGGATGTCACCACAGCATGGCTGATAAGTGGTGTAGGTCTGCGCCTGCGAACCAAACCCATGAACCCCAGTCACCGAAGAGGAATGCTCCAAACTTAACCACTGGGCCACAGGGATGGCGCCCAAAGATAAAATTCTTAAGAAGTTCAAGTTGGTGATGGTAGAGCATTAAAACAAGCAGGAGGCCCTTCTCAGCACAGGCTGTGCAAGTGCATAGATCACACTCCCATGAATTGGCCCCAATGAGAGGGAGATTTACTTTTTATTTATTTTATACTTTATGATCTCACACCATTTTTTTTTAATTGAAAAGAGTAATCTGGGCCAGCTTTATAAATGTCCTAGGTTTTGAGTTCTGTTTGCAAAATGCCGGGGTTTTATTCTTCCTGCCTGGTTCTCAGACCTAATCTGTAGAGTTACATCTCAAGAATGTCTAGTCAAGGATCATAAAAGACTTGGCCAATGTTCTCTCGACTGCATAGAGCACATCGCAAGAAACAGTTTAGAGCGATTGGCTTGGTTTTTGGTTAAAGACCAAAGTGGTAAACAAGGCTTATGTCTCAAAGTTTATGGCCCAGATGTCTTCCTTCTGTCCCTATAAACAGAGCCAGCCTTCATGCTTTTGGTCCTTAATGGAGCACTGCGGACCATTAAGACCCTAAGGAAACACTACTCGAAGTATACACCTCAACTTCCTCTGAAAACCTGAGTGCTCGAAGAATTTCTATCACTGACCTCCTGCCACCCAGGACATTCACTGCAGTGCAGTCGGGCGGCAAAAGGCTGCAGATAACCTAAAGTCCAGCAAAGAAGGCTGGCTACATATATCACGATGGGTCTGTATCGTGGGACTCTGGGATAACTGTGCAGCGCTCGGGCACTGCCCGGAAACAACCAAGAGGAAAAACAAGTTGCAGAAGGATGTGTACCATAAGCTGCCGTTCGTGTAGAAGGAAAAAGGCATGAATGTCGGTGCTGGTAAGTGTACAGATCATTTCTGGAAGGAAACACAAGGTGCTGCTTGTCCTTGAGGGGGAGGACGAGGCCTGGGACCACAGTGAACACATGTACATTTCACCGTATATATTTGTCATGTGAAAACTTGTATCATGTGAAAAAGAAACAGAGAAAGGAAAATTAAAGTGAGTATTTGATAATATTAGATTAATTTGTCCTCTGAGGAAGACTGGGACGGTCAGAGAAAAAAACCTTTTTTTTCTCATTTTCTACACAGGACAGCTGGGGACAGGTAGGACGGTCTTAACCACTGGGCCACAGGGATGGCGCCCAAAGATAAAATTCTTAAGAAGTTCAAGTTGGTGATGGTAGAGCATTAAAACAAGCAGGAGGCCCTTCTCAGCACAGGCTGTGAAGCCCAACTTGTGAGCTTCAGAGAAAGGGGATAGAAGGATGGTAATTGGCTCACAGTAAGCACCTGACAAAAGTTTAGTTTTTGAATGAATGAATGAATGAACGAATGACTACTTCTTGGCTCGGTCAGGTGGTGGGTGGGAGAAATGACTCCAGTCACTCGTGCCCCTGCCATCCGCCGGAGGAAGCCTCTCCCGCTGAGGGCACTGACACCATTTCTACCTGTGGACAGTGACCAACAGTGCAATGTGTTTTCATTCTTCAGAGATTCTGGGAAAACCAGAGACTGCCGAGAATGATACAGAAAGGACTGAAGACTGTGAATGACGTTTAGAATCCACTTAAAATGGCCCCCGGAGCAAAGCCTGAAGCTTCTGCCTCCTCCTCTCACCTATCAGGACTCCTGATAACTGAGAGCTGAAGTTTAGGAAAAGAGGGCTCCAAAGTTGTGAATAATAAAGGCTTTCCTTCTTTTGATGTGCCCTGTATAGACAGATTATTGAGAAAGAACAATACTGCTACTGAAAAAAAAAACAAAAACGAAACAATACCATGAGTTGTTATTCAGTGGAAGGCCACTCTAGTAAGTATGTCATGTGAGATTTTAAAATAACATTCACTTTTTTTCTGATTATGAAAGTAATGCACATTTCTTGCAGAAAAATTAGAAAATATAGCTATATTAGAATAAAAAGTAAAATGAAATTTCCCGTAATCCTACCACTCTGATTACACAGTTAATATTTTTACGGATCTGCTTTCATTTCTTTTGCATGTGTGTGTGAATGTAGTACAGTTGGCGTCATACTCTAATCTTTTTCACATAATATAATGTGAACATTTTCCCAAGTCAATATTCACTCTCTTAAAAAATATTTTTTAAGAGCCAAATCCTTATTTAACCAGTCTCTGCTCGAACAGTTCAGTGTAATAAAAAAGGATTACGAGGAAATCCCCTGTAAATAAAACTTTATACTCATCTGCTTATTTTTTTGAATAAATTTCCAAAAGTGGAATAGTTGGATCAAGTGATAGATTTTTAAACTTTCTGAGTTCATTTATCTTTTAGAAATATGGTGTTAATTTATATTCCCAACAACACTGTATATGTGTCAACGCTGCATGCTACGTTTTTTAAAATCCTTGACAAAGGTGCATGCCTCTGTTTCCAAAAAATTTTCAATGTCTTTGGTGGTGAGTATGAGCACTTTAAAAATGATATTTATCCATCTGAATTTCTTCTTTCACTGCGGGCCTGTTCATCCATTTCTGCATTTTGGGTGTTGGTGTTTGAAGTACTGATTTATAAGAGATCTATACAGTAAGATCAACCTTTTGTCACATTTGCTAAAAACATTTTCTCCAATTTGTCATTTGCCTTTTTTGGTGATATTCGGTATGTTTAAGTCTTGCATATTTATTCAAATATATATCCTCATTCTTGCCTTTGGTTTCTTCCTATGCCTTATTACCTGGGCCTTCTCCTCTGAAATAATTCACTTATGTGTTCCTTTAATTCTCTGGTGATTTCTGGTGGTGGTTTGTAGTTTTGGGGCTTTGAGGAAATTAATTCATATATAGGAACCCACAAAATGGAGGCCACCATAGTGGGCCTGCTCAGGTCACAAATCTAAACCTAAGTCAGCCTGTACCTACTGGAAACACCTGTCAAGGAAACCTAACATACAACAATCACAGATCTCCACCTCAGCTTTAGTTAGCTCACCTTGCCCTAGAAAGTAGGACCCGATAGCCTTCTAGGAAATCCCCAGCCTCCTAGGCGGTCATGCCCTGTTTCCACATTGCCTCCTCCAACGTTCTGTAAAACTCACTCTTGCCCAAAATCCCGGGGGAAGAGCGCTCCACAGCTCCTGAGGCCCTGTACTCCCCACCCCATGGATTGTTCTCCCTTGAATAAAGGACATCAAACTCATCACTAAATTGTTTTCGTTTTGTCATTAGACAGGTTCTTATATTTATTTTGGTGGTGGTTTAAATAAATACCTAGTTTTACTTTCTTCCCCCAAATTAACTAACTGCCCGAGCCACATTGATCATCTGGTTAATTTTTACGTATATCGTATATGTTTCTAGACTTTCAATTATTCCGGTGATGCTTCTCCATCCATTCGTGTATCGACACCACGCTGTTTTAATTATAGCTTTGCAATATGTTTTAAGATTCAGCGATATGTCTATTCCCATTTTCAAAATTAAAAATCTTAGCTTTTTGCACAGATATTCTTCCATTCAAGTGCTAGAAAAAGTGTTAAGTCTCATCCTCTCCCATCTACTCACAACCATTAGAATTTATTAAAAGAGTTAATTTGGGTAAAGTTGCTATTTTCACCTCCTATTTCTTCAAGCCTTTCTTATTACGTTTCAACCTTTATAACTTCTTCATGAAGAGCCTGCACTTTTTAGTAAGTTTATTCCTAGGTTTTTTACAGTTTTACAAGAATTGATAATTTTGGGTTTTTTTTTTTTAAGTTAAAACTGCTCTTTAAGCTCCAATTAAAGCTTACCAAAGCTGACTTTACGATTTTTTTCCAGGTGGGTATTTGCTTGCAGGAAACTAGTCAGAAACCAAAGGCTCTTTAGCAGCAGCTAGCTATTATGTTCCTTCTATACTCGGCATGGCGGTTATCCCTTTATGCGAATTATCTTATTTAATGATAGAATATCCCCAGCAGGATGGTGCAACTTTTATTCTCATTTGACACAGGAGGGTTCCCAAGCTTCGAGAGTCTGAGGAACTTGGCACAAACCACCTAGTTGGTAGGTGGATTCGATCCCAGGACTGTGAATCTCCAAATCACAAATACCGTGCCATCAGATTAGCTGACTGAAAAGAGTGCCTTTCCGAAAACAATCAACTGAATTAAAAAGACAATGCTTTCCACCTACTGGACCGTCCCAAAAGATTGCTTTTCCTCCCATGTGAGGCGTAGATCAACATGTACTTCGCAGGAGCACAAGACATCTAGTTGACTTACTGAGCCTCCTGTAGAATTAGGGACTCGTGGAT